GAGGCGAGGCGAGGCGAGGCAAGGCGAGGCGAGGCAAGGCGAGGCAAGGCGAGGCGAGGCGAGGCGAGGCAACTTCAACATTGGACTCCCTCTGTTCAGTTCGGGTCTGTGTGGGTGAACGGCCTTTTGGGTTGTCTGCTGGTCACGTATGTCATTGCATGTGTGGAGAGTGCAGGAGTGCAGCACAGTAGACAAACATACATACAGACAGACAGACAGACAACCGGCACAATGGTGCCTGGGCACTCAGCCCACTGTCTCCAAGGCTGTCTGTACCCGTCTCTAGGCGTGTAGGTGTGTCTGGTCGTATGCAGGGCATGAGATCGGATTGCTGCTGCTGCTGCTGCTGCTGCTACTGCTGACGCTGATGCTGCGTCTGTGAGACGACGAATGATACTGTCTACTCTCAGAGGCGCAACAACATGCCATGAGGCTGAGTAGTCTGGCGGTTCGGTCAGCACCCGGTATGGGTCAGCACAGACAGACTTGTGCACACGTGCACACAGACAGACGCACAGCACAGGCAATAGGCTACGCGTGCCACATGTAGATGTCGCCATATTGGTGTGCGTGTGCCTGTAGAACATCATCCAACCACTAGCCAACAGGCATCAGGCAGCGTCTCTTGCAACAACTAAACTTGGTGAGATTACCCATGTTAGTGGATTCACTCATGAGTCGAGGGAGGCCTCGGCAACTGTACAGATTTGCTTGGCTGACACGAGGTCTTCTGGAGACAATGTGACAGACACGCCAAGCGATAGTACCGACGGAAAACGAAGTAAACGAAGAAAATCAGGGGTTCGAACAGCTCCCTAATGAGTTAGCAGTAATTGAGGTTGCATTTCAACGCAAAAAGGTAACCGAACAAAATGTCCCATCGAAAAGCGATAAAAGAATGTTGCGTTGGGCCAACAAGTCATCGAGTCAACGTCCAACGAACCCAACGAAGCCGAACTGAACCAAATGATGGCGGAACTTATTCGCACAATCCTACAGTCTCCAGACCGCGGCAGTCCTTCTTCACTTTCCGATGAGACCAATTCTCATTTTCCGTTTAAATGCACAGTTAAGTCACTCTAGGCTCACTCTACTTGTATCCCATAGCTAGCTTCGATTGTACATGTTTCTAAACGTACATATTGAACATGTTTATAAACTATCAGTAATCCTTGAATAAGAACTTAGTCAGGCTAGGTTGTTTGAAAAGCTTCTCACAATCACATGATTAGACCTCACCATACCATTCTATTTCAGGAAGCGTTGACCCGACCCACGAATAAGACCTTACTCTACCGGTTCTCATTAGCACCCCCAACTGGAAAAAGCGACCAGTCATGAGAATGACTAAGCTGCTAGTCATGCGTTACTGATTACCTCGAAACCTTCTTACACCGACACTGAGCAGCGTCGTTGAACGGAATAGCAAACACATGCTTGATTAATCGAAAGTCTCACTATACAAATTGGAATTGGAATTGGACGAGGTCGAAAGTACAGTCCCATTCGGCCTGAATGAGACAACCGTCTGGCAGACAAGGTTAGGGAGCTTTACTGAAATACGGAGATAAACATCAGATTTGAAAGCACATTAAAATAGCCTAAGATGACTAATTTGCTATTCAAGGTTTCGAAAGCGTTGGTATACGGATTTCATGAATTCGTCAAATGTAAGCCTAATTCGGGTAATAGAAGGGCTGATAGATGAATTTCACACAATTATAGATAAGAATAACAGGGTTTTGATTAATCTCCCAAATAACATTGTTGGGAAGACTTTCATTTCGTATGAAAGTGAATGAAGAAGGGATGCGTGGGTCGATCTCAAAAGAAGAGGACGCCTGAATCGCGTTTTACAGCAGCTTTTGGCTTTTATACGACCTTCAGGTTGACGCAGTCCACGAAACAGCCCACCTCGCCTCGGATGAAAACGGGCTGGACTTTCGTCCATCATATGATGGACATCATCAGAGCAGGAACTCATTCTTGTAAAAGACTCGCATTAACACAAGGTCAAGGAGAATATCCAACTCTATTTTACCTCTTATACATACTCATAACTATAAACGAAGAGGAACAGGCATAGATAAATATAATATCGTTTGGCTAATTGACTTTCATGCTGGTCCT